GATTGGAACGGGATCCTACCTTACAAACGGAAGGCGTTCGCGCACGGCCCCGCGTCCGACGGCATTGCGAAGGGAAGCTTACGCGGCAGAATGTCCGATTCTCGCGGCGAAGACGAAGCATGCGCTGTGTTGACACAGCTCTGTCGCGTTGGCTCACAAGCTGTGCGGCGTTTGAGCGAGGTCGGCGATTCTCCCGCGCTCGCGCGGCCCCGCTGCCGCCATTGCGTCCATGTGAGTGTGCGACGGAGCGGCGCGCCGCGCCCGCGCGGAAACGCCAGTCCTGAGCTTGGGTTGTGGAGGACGGTCAAGGGAGAGGATGCATGTTGCCAAATAATTCCCAGAAGTCTGACACGTGTGTTAAACGTGTTTTAAACATGTAAAACAACATGTGTAAAACATGTTTATAACATGTTTTCCCCTTTTCTAAATACATTTTAAATTAACTGATAGGACATCCACAAAGTTTGGGCGAGGGCGACGAATCTCTCGCGCCCGCGGACCTCGAGGCGGCAGCGCCACCTTCAGGCGAAGCCTGCGTGGCGCTAAGGCGAGGCCGACATTTTCATCCGCTCGCGCGTCGATGAAGCAACGTGCGACACATGCGCGCCGCGCTCGAGCGGGAGCTCATTTCTCGAGAAAGACGCGCGGCGTTGGGGCGAGAGCGCTATTTCGGCCTTTCGCGCGAAGTATGCGCCGCGTGCCGCTCCTGCCACGGATGTTTCAGCGTCGACGACAGAGCGCCCATGTTGAGACGACACGCGTTGATTTGGCATACGTATGTTTAGATATATACTGACCGGAAGGCTGGGACCACCAGGATCCGGTTGCGATCGGCCGGCTTTGTAGCAGATTCGGAGAGTCTACCAAGAAGGAATCAGGATAGGTATGGGTGTTGGAGATTGGGATTGTGTCGATGATGATGGTGGTGGTGGCAGTGAATATGATTATGATGACGGTGACGAAGAAGATGATTATGATGGTCACGTTGACGATGTGTGATGACGTGGATGTTGATGTGTCTGTTGTTGCGGGCGACGGTGATGTTGTTGATGATGATGATGTTGATGATGATGATGGTCGGGATCATGATCCTGATGATGTTGATGATGATCATGATCATGATCGTGATCGATGGGGATGCTGATGATGACGATGAGGGAGCATATTGCGGATGGACTTGCGCTCAGGGGTGATGTTGAGTTTTGGGAGAACGATGGGGAGGAGGAGGGGGAGGTTGGGGATGGAGAGCCAATTCAATATTGTGTTGAGGCCGTGCAAGGGCAATGTGTTGGGCCACATGCTTTCGGAAGAGCCTCATTATCGTGTTGGTGGTGACGGTGATGATGCTCACGACGATGATGATGACGATGTTGATGATGATGGTGGTGATGATGATGGTGATGATGCTGATGAGGATGATGCTGATTGGTGCTGTTGGTTAGTGATGGTACTGATGAAGAACATGATGCTGATGCTGCTGATGATGGTGATGATGATGATTATGGTTGTGGTGATGGTGATGGTTGTGATGCGGCTGATGATGGTGATGATTGTGGTGTTCGTGATGATGATGCCGATGATGACGATGCTGATGCTGAGGATGGTGATGATGGTGGCGATGTAGACGACGATGTTGATGGTTGTGATGAGGATGCTGGTGCTGCTACTGGTAGTGATGATGGTGCTGATGCTAGTGATGATGCTGATGACGGCGAAACTGCTGATGTTGCTGCTGACGATGGTGATGATGTCCATGCGCATGAACCCGATCATGAGCATGGCGATGATGATGATGATGGAGATGATGATGTTGATATTGATGAGAAGGAGGATGATGATTCCAATGGGACTGAAGATGGTGATGACGATGTTGACGACGATGCTGATGATGATGATGCTGGTGATTGTGAGAATGATGGTGATGCTGCTGGTGATGATAATGATGGTGATGCTGATGCTGATGATAATGATGATCATGCTGACGATGTTGGCTACGATGCTGATTGTGGTGATGATTAGTGTGATGACGATGCTGAGGACGACGAGGTTGCTGCTGATGCTGATGCTGACGATGCTGATGATGGTGTTGATGTTTACGGTGCAGATGCTGATGGTGGTGATGATTACGATGATGGTGGTGTTGATGATGTTGATGATGTTGATGATGTTGATGCTGCTGTTGCTGCTGGTGATGATGGTGATGGTGACCATTCCCATGATCCTGATCATGAGCATGGTGATGATGATGATGATGATGATGATGATGATGATGATGATGATGATGATGGTGCTGATGACGATGATGGTGTTGATGCTGATGGTGGTCGGGATGCGTCTCAGAATGATGATGCTGATGCTGATGATGATGGCGATGAGGACGACGATGATGATGGTGCTGATGATGGTGATGATGCTGTTTATGATGTGGATGATGATGCTGCTGCTGATGATGGTGATGCTGATGAGGAGGTGGCTTATGATGATGATGCTGATGATGACGCTGTTGCTGATGATGGTGCTGATGTGGATGATGATGACGATGATGATGCTGATGCTGATTAGGATTATGCTGATGCTGATGATGATGATGATGATACCTCTGTTGATGACGTTGATGATGATAATGATGATGATAATGATGATGATGATGATGAGGAGGATGCTGACGGTACTGATACTCAGGATGATGAGATTGATGATGAGGCGAGGTCCCCATCAATCGCCCCCCATTAAGCAACGCCCACTAGGAGGAGCACTACGATGAGGGCGTTTAGGGGGAGGCTGATGAAGAAGGTTGCACGTTCTGAGTCTGCTGATGAGCAGGAGCAGGGAGGGAGAGATGGAGGACGGAAGGAAGGACCGGCAGAATGCAGGACAGGAGGGAGGCGAACAAAACGTGCTCCACGGCGCTCACAGGTTCTAGGAGTTTTAGGTGTCTCTTGGAGCCTGTCGGGGGCTCTTCGAGGCTATCGGGGGCGGGATGGCATGGCTGGGTAGGGCCGGGTGGTTGGAGGCCAGGGGGCTAGGAGGATGATGGAGGGTGATGAGAGCCATAGGCAGTTTGAATCCGGGGCGCGTTTTTGTGAAAATTCCGGGGGAAGGCGGCGGGGGATGCTTAGGAGAAGTTGGAGGAGGAGGGGGAGGGAAGGCGATGAACCGCGGGGCAGTCCAGAGTCCAGGGGGGACGCACATGCCGAAGAAGGGAGGGTGCCAAGGACGATGTTTGGCCAAGTTCCCAACATGAGCGCCGCAAGCTTTCTCGCCCACTCCCACCGAGACTGAGCGTGGGCAGCGGTCGCCAGGTGCGTCGCGCTCGCGAGGTGCGTCGCGCGTGCCAGGTGCGCCACGTAGGGAGCCCGGAGATTGTTTACATGTTGATTCACTGAGCTTAGGCGCGTGGTGGTTGTCATCGGTTGCGGGGGGGGGGAGATGTCTGTAGCTGGGGGGTGGGGCTATGAGCGGAGTGGGGCTGAGTGGAAGCGAGCGGACTGGAGAGAGGAAGTCGGGTGGTTGCGGGGAAGAGGGCCTGGGCCGCGCGGAGTGGAGAGGACGCTGGTGTGGGGGGGGGCGGGGCGAGCGGCGCGGACATGGGAGGTGGCCGGAGGAGGCATGCGAGAAGCCGTCGCGGCGAAGCCGAGGGGGAGCGCAGGAGAGGATGGGCATGCGAGACGCCGTCGCGGCGAAGCCGAGGCGCGGGGCGCAGTGTACAGTCAACCCGCACAGTGAGGATGGGCACCGTTCCGAAGGGTACACTTGCATCCTTGCCTCCTCGGCCCACCCTTGGCCACTTTCGTTGGCCGCGCCCCGCTCGAAAAGCTCCGAAATGGCCTTCCAAGGCCCTTGCATCCTGATCGCGCATCCTTATCGTCCTCGTCCTCCTCCTCGTCCTCCTCCCTCTCCTCCTCCTCCTCCTGCTCCTCCTGCTCACCGCCAGCCTGCGGGAGCGGGGGGCCGCAGGGCAGCGCGAGCCAGTGCGGGCGCCCGCCGCAGATGCGGGATCGCGGCGCGGCGCGCGCGGTCCAAGTCGCGCTGTCGCCGCCGATCGCGCTGATCGCCCAGCGCCGGGGGAGGAGGACACCATGAGTTCCTCCTCCTCCTCCGTCCTCCTCCTCCTCCTCCTCCTCGTCCTCCTCCTCCTCCTCCTCTTCCTCCTCCTCGTCCAATGCAGAGGCGGGCTGGATGTGTCGTGGAAGCCTCTGCGGCCCTCTTGGGCCGTGGTGGCGCCGTCTGGCCACGGCAGGAGTCACGCGATCGGAACACAAGAAAGGTTTGCCCGGGAGTTCTGAGCAGAGCAACCATGTACGGCTTTCAGTCTAGAGAGCTCGAAGGGATCCGATGGCACTGCACTTCGTGCATCGAGGAACGGTTGCAGATGTACAGATACGCAGGGATACGAACGTACGTGTATGTGTATATACATATATGTATATATATGTATGTATGTATGCATGCATATGTCTGTATGTATACATATATATATATAGAGAGAGAGATCGATGTTTGCATACCGATGTACGCATTCCTTTGTTTAAGACCATCGGGAACTATTTGAGGTGCCTCCCAACGCCTCGCCCCCTGCCCCCCACATCTCCCTCCTCCCTCTCTCTCTCTCCTTCCCCCCCCCTCCCCCTCCACATTCTCCCCCTCCCCCCCCCTTCCTCCGCCTCCTCCTCCTCCTGCTCCTCCTCCTCCTTCTTGTTGGGCTGGGCGAACTCAAGCTGCTTGGCTGGAGCGTTCGCGCGTGTCCTCCTCTTCCTCCTCCTCTTCCTCCTCCTCCTCCTCCTCCTCCTCCTCCTCCTCCTCCTCCTCCCTCGTCGTCCTCCTCCTCCTCCTCCTCCTCCTCCCTCGTCCTCCTCCTTTTTCCTCTCCTCCCCTTCCTTCCCCTCCTCTCTCCTCCCTCGTCGTCCTCCTCCTCCTCCAACTTCTCCTCTCCTCGCTCCCCCTCCTCTCTCCTCCTCCCTCGTCTTCCTCCCTCGTCCTCCTCCCCTGCCCCCTCCGAGGTGCTCCGGGGACCCCTTCCTGTCGCAGGGCAGGAGGAGGCTCTGCCTCCTGGACACCGAGGACCACGCGGAGTACCAGCTCCTGGAGGCCGCCCGGCCGGGCGTGCCCCTGGGCGGAGGAAGCGGGAGGCGAGGAGGAGGAGGGAGGAGGGAGGCGATCCCGAGCAGGGGAGGGAGGAGGAGGAGGAGGGAGGGAGGAGGAGGAGGAGGGAGGGAGGAGGAGGAGGAGGGAGGATGGAGACGAGGAGACCAGAAGGCAATTCATGAGCTCACCAAAGAGGAACTCCCCATCGGGCCTCGAAGAATGGCCCCGAGGCAGCCCGTGAGCCCATGGTCGGTCCTTTCCCAGTGCGCAGGGATCGAGGACCGCAGGTCGCAGGCGCTCGGGGAGAGGCGGGAGCAGGAGAGCGGATGACGGTGGCTGGTGGTGATGGTGGCGTTGATGCTGATGTTGACGATGATGATGATCGTGATGCTGGTGATGCTGATGATGATGATGATGATGATGGTGGTGATGATGATGATGATGATGGTACTGATGATGATGATGATCGTGATGCTGGTGATGATGATGCTGCTGATGATGATGACGAGGAGGATGAGGATGAGGATGCTGCTGATGATGATGATGTTGATGATGATGATGATGATGATCGTGATGCTGGTGATGATGATGATGATGATGATGATCATGCTGACGATGATGATGCTGATGCTGATGATGATGCTGCTGATGATGATGATCATGATGATGATGATGATGATTATTTTGCCGGTGATGATAATGATGATGATGATGACGAGGAGGGTGAGGATGAGGATGTTGATGATGACGATGATGTTGATGATGATGATGATGCTGATGATGATGGTGATGCTGATGCTGATGGTGATAATGGTTGTGATGCTGATGCTGATGCTGATGACGACGATGATGATGATGGTGCTGTTGATGTCGATGCTGTTGTAGCTGATGGTGATGCTGCTGGTGATGGTGATTGTGATGCTGACGATGCTGCTTATAATGGTGGTTATGGTGATGGCGATGGTGATGGTGGGGGTTGTGGTGATGGTGAGGGTGATGGTGATGATGTTCATGCTGATGCTGATGATGCTGATGGATATGATGATGCCGATGCTGTTTATGATTGCGATGCTGATGATGGTGATGCTGATGGTGATGATGATGATGACGATGTTGGCGATGGTGAGGATAATGATGATGCTGATGCTGATGCTGATTATAATGATGATGCTGATGATGATGATGCTGATGCTGCTGATGATGATGCTGCTGCTGCTGATGATGATGATGATGATGATGATGGTGGAGTGCCAGTTCCTTGAGACCGCCCGGTTGGACGTCTTCTGGGTAGAGGTTTGAAGATCGGGTTGACCTGAATGGGTACGGAAACAATGGTTACAACGTCCAGCAGCAGTTGTCGTCTTTTAAAAGCAAGGCGTTTGTCGGCGTCGCCCCCGTCGCTGTCCGTTTGAGACACGAATTCGCCTGCCTAACCGCGGTCGTTGTCGGGTTGGGACAACGTTCGTTGTTGGGAAAGAGCGCGTTCTGTGGTCGCTTGGATGGGGGGGGGGACGGAACCGGACCCCCCCTCCCCTGGATGGAGGAGGGGGGTTCGAACCACCCCCCACCCCCCCTCCCGTGACGGAGGGGGGTCGGGGGTTCGAACCCCCCCCCCTCCCGGCCCCTCCTCCCCTACTTCTCCTCTCTCCCTCTCCTCGGGCCAGCGCCTGCGTCGGCGGCGGCTGGCGGCGGCGGCGGGGACGACGACTTTCTTTTTCTGGGCTTGCGCCAGCTTTGTGCCGCCGCCGGCGTCGCGTGGTCGTGTGGTCGCCGCCGCCGCCGCCGATGCCAGTCATCACCGTCCCTTCGGTAGCAACTCATGGGATCCTCATGTACCTTCTTGATTCCCGTCTTTAGCGTCGACTGGCGTCAAATAGCGTCTGGTAGTCGATGGGATGGCGCCGAATTAGCGTCGATTCGCGTCGGACCAGCGTCGATTAGCGTCGATTCGGAAGAGCCAAAAAGATGGTACGGGGAGCTCCCATGAGTTGCCATCGAAAGTCCCTGAAATCCGGGTCAGGTCGCGCTTAAGGAAATTGTGGTGGTGATGGTGGTCGTCGTCGTCGTCGCCGTCGCCGTCGCCGTCGCCGTCGCCGCGCCCTCGCACGCGGCGAGGCGATGGGCGGGCTCTTCGCGGCGGAAACCCATTCGTGCAGCACGAGCGTGTCGAAGCGGGCGTCCATGCAGATGATCCAGGCTGCCCTGCGCTCGTCGTCGTCGTCGTCGTCGCCGCCGTCGACAAAGCGTACTGCGCCAGAGCGGTCAGGCTGCTTGAGAAGGACGATGTCGATGGTGATGATCGGGAGGATGAGGAACGTGATTCAAGTATGATAGAGATGCACTGGATAACGAATCTCGATACGAAGCAGAGCATTACTAAGCAGAGCACGGATACATTTATTGGTACGCATATCCTGTTGCATGCGAATCTGGTTCTCAACAGATAGCAAGCTCCGTGCGAGCCCACGTGACACGAAGTCTACGAGCAGGAGAGCTGATGCGATTGTAATGGTGATGCGGAAGAGGAGCAGGAGAGGGATGAGTAGAAGAATCAGGAGAGCCCCCATGTCTATCAGCCACTCGGCCTTCTGGCCGCGACCGCCCACGCAGATCACTAGTCCACCAGCCCCGTCTGCCCCATCGGGCCTTCGATCCACCAGAGCAGGCGGAGGTTGAAGGTTGAAGGAGGCATCCTTCTTATTGATTCCTCTCCCCCACGTCTTGGCAGTTCTCGGGGAAGACCATCGAGGAGCATCCTGGATCATCGAGCATCAAAAACACGCACGAAACCGAGAACTACAGGGGACATATGCGCCTGAGTGATGGCATAACCTCTTCTTTATTCTTTCCTGCTGCTCCTCCTCTGCCTCCTGTTTCCCTCTCGTGCGCCTCCTCCCTCTTCGCTCCTCGTAAGCATCCTTGTCCTTATCTCTGCATCCAGGAGGATATGGGATGACAGGATGAGGTAAACGAAAGAGAATTCAGGGCCAGTTCCAGCAGGATCGTCTATCCACGTCTCTTTGGGGACTCGCTATCCAAGGTCGACGACCAAATGTAGATCCACATTTTTCGGCGTGGCAATGTGCCCACCATTGCATCCAGGGTCGGGGATGGGCATGGAGTCTGAAGGGTAGTAGATGACCTGGGGAGGGACGTGACGGAGTGAAAGGGGAGGCACATCTGGGAGGGGGGGAAGAGGGAGGGGGAGAGGGGACGGGGAAGGCAGGGAGGAAGGAAGGACGGCGCAGGGCCAGACGTGGAAAAAGGTTGCATGAGGGGCACGCAGGCAGGCATCCAGGAGGGATGTGGGAGCCTCGACATCGCTCAGACGTGTACACTTTTTCTCTGCGAGGACCCCTGAGGAGCAATCCGGACCATCGACCCCCCCCAAAAAAAGAAGTACACACACGCACGACATCGAACCATGCACGGTGCATGGACGTTCGAGCGATGGCGAGCGTCGCATGAGGACGACGGAGGCTTACGTCGGGCATGGCCCTCTACGGGAGGAATATAGAAAACTAGTCCCGGACGATTTTTCTGTTATGCTTTGGCTGCTCTTGTATATGTTCGGATTGTTTTCTGTTTCCGTCCAAAATCCGCCTGTAGGGTGACTTGCCCGACCGAAACGGAGTCAGAGGGTGGCGTAAAACGACGCGAAGATCGGGACAAATTCGGATCGGGATAATTCGAAATCTCCGAGAATCGGCGGGTTTGGAGGATGTATTGGGCGCCGCGGCCGCTCCAGAGCGTTCCTCAGAGCGATTTATCCCGATCCTGGCCTTGTGTTATGGCGGGAGGGCGGGCGGGATGCTGCCGCGGCCCGGCCGAGCTCGGCGGCACGCCCGGCTCTCCTGCAGCGGCCCCCCCGGGCCTGGCATCGCTCGGACGTGCGCAGTTGCTTCTCTGCGAGGGCCCTCTGAGGAGCATCCTGGACCATCGAGCAGACAAAAACAAACGAAACCGAAGAATGCACAGGGCATGGACGCCCGAGCGACGGTAAGCGGGAGACCGCCCAGAGGCCCACGGAGTGCCCCGGAGAGCCGCGACCTTTCGATCCTTCGCTGCGCTCTGGCCCTGGAGGAGGAGAGGGGGGGGGGAAGGACGACCCGCCTTACTGGCACGAGGGCGTTCTGCGCCCACGTTTTGGGGGGTGGTGGCGAGCATATATATATATATATATAGAGAGAGAGAGAGAGAGAGAGAGAACAAAAAGAAAGAGAGAAAGAGAGAGAGAGAGAGAGAAACAACACATTTTCTGCATATACACATATATACACATCTGTATGCATACCTATATATAAATATATATATATATATATATATATATATATAGAGAGAGAGGGGGGGAAACATAAAGAGTGAAAGAGAGAGACAGAGACAGAGACAGAGAGAAGAGTGATATCATCACTGAGGGGAGGAAATGGTATCCATATGCTACCCCTTCTCGCTTTCGTCTTTGGTTGGGCCTTCTGGGATGCCCTTGTCGCCACCGCTGGATTCGCCTCGAAATCCGTGTCAGAACGCACCCCAGGAGAGCTCCGGGAAGTAGCGGTATCGGCACCTCACGGTTCCCACAGTTATACATCTATATTCCCAAGCAGTGTTTGCACTTGGGGGCTCTTGCTTTTTCTGAGGAATTGGGCCTGCCCGACGGTCTGGCGACTACTCGGAGAAGTGTATGATCTACACACCAATCCACTCAATGGATGTAAACTGTGTAGCAGGGATTGTTTTTGGTTGCGTTTGTACTTCTAAGTTTCTTCATTTGATTTGTGGTTATAGTTTTCTCCGCTGCACCGCGCGTCGTCGTCTCCTTCACCTACCTCCCCCCGCCCTCCGCTCGCAGCCGCCTCTGCTGCGTTGCTTGCTGCATGCTGCTGGTGGCCCGTCATTGCTATCCGCTGCTGATGCTGCGAACGCCGTGACCAATCAGCTCGGCAACCCCCCCGCACGGATCGCGCCCCACGTGGAGTTTCATCTGCGTGTCCCAGCCGGGGCCTACCGAAACCGTCCCCGCGCTCATGTCGGCACGCCCCCAGCGCGGACGCGCGCACCCGCAGGCCCAGGGGGGGGGGGGGGGCGGGGCGGCGCCCCCGAATCGCATCCGCAGCACTCACGGCACGCGCCATTGACGGAGATCCGCCTGGGGCCCCCGTTCCGCTTGCGTCTCCGTACCCACGTCGGCACGCCACTTGCGGAAGACCGCGCCCACACACACACACACACACACACACACACACACACACACACACACACACACACACACACACACACACACACACACACACACACACACACACACACACACACACACACACACACACACACACACACACACACACACACACACACACACACACACACACACACACACACACACACACACACACACACACACACACACACACACACACACACACACACACACACACACACACACACACACACACACACACACACACACACACACACACACACACACACACTCACACTCACACTCACACTCACACTCACACTCACACTCACACTCACACTCACACTCACACTCACACTCGCACTCACACTCACACTCACACTCACACTCACACTCACACACACACCCGTAACCATGTTGGCTCAAGATGATTTGTTCCACAGGGGAACGAGTGGATACCGCTAGTCCGCGGCCAGTGCCAGGGCTTCTCCGCCCGACAGTTTTGTTTCGTGTGTTGGCAAGGGGTAGGCTGTGCGCTGCCCACTCGCCATGTCCAGTGCCTCGCAGAGGGCCAGGTCTGAGCCGCGGGCCAAGGGCGGCGGCGGCAAGGGCAAGAGCAAAGGAGTTGGCAAGGCAGGCAAGACCAACGCGAGCGGAGCCAACCCCCTGGACTACGTCCGCTGTGCGAACTGCTCGTACAAGTGGAACTTCAAGGCCAGGGTGGAGTGCTACAACTGCAAGAAGCCGCTCAAGCCTGCCGCAGTGGACGAGCCTCCGCAGCTACGGGCATCGGCGTGGTCATTCGTGCGCGAGCCGTGGGTGCGGCACTCTGACGACTGGTTCGGGTACGAGGCACCGCCACCGCAGCCCGCCCCGCCGTCGGATGCAGAGTGCCTCGCGGCGTTGGCGGCCAGGCATCCCGAGCACGGCCAGCAGCTCGAGGCCATCAAGATGGCAGTCGCACCACCGCCCGTTGCGGCCACGGTGTTGCCAGATGTGGCCCTCAACCGCGCCCAGGCCAAGCAGCGGCGGGCTCAAGCCGCCTTCCTCTCCAAGTCCCAGCAGGTCCACGACGCCGAGCAGTGGCCCCAGGCCTGCCGCGAGGAGGAGGTGCGTGCTGGTGAGCTCGTCCTGGCGTGCAACGTGGAGGTGGAGGAGGCCTACAAGGCAGCAGCGCCCAAGGGCGTCCAGGTGCAGGCGCAGGAGGCGCAGGGGCCTGGCGCCAAGACTCAGCCTGCCGTGGGCCTCAACGCCACGGCGCTTTTGGCGGAAGACTTCCAGGTCGAGGCAGGCGACGCCTTCAGGCTGGGCGACCCCGACCTGGACATCACCGACACGGAGCGCGAGGAGTTCAACAAGTCCCTGGAAGGCTTCGTCGAGCAAGTCAAGCAGCACGTGCGCACCACCTTCGGTGAGGCCAAGACGCAGCTGGAGCAGAGGCGCAGCGAGATCGACGCCAAGCACCAGCAGCTGCTGGCCAGGCGCAAGCGGCCTCGCACCGAGGCGGCAGGAGCAGCAGACCAGACGCCAGCCCAGGCGCCAGCCGCAGGCCCTGCGGCAGCAGGCCCCGCGGAGGCCCCAGCGGCCGCCGCGGCCCCAGCCCAGGCCCCCGCCCCTGGGCAGCCTGAGGCCCCTGCTCGGCCTCCTGTTGCTCACCCTCCAGAGCCACCCAGCCTCCGCGGCCCCGATGGCGCAGCCAAGTTGGCTCAGCTCAGGCGGGACTTGGAAGCAGCAGCCGCCGTTCCAGCTGGGCACGCAGATGCGCAAGGCCCAGTCCTGGGGACCTGATGCGCCGCCAGAGGCCAAGCCACGAGAGCCCAGACTCGTCCGCCTGGGCAGGCGGGAGCGGGCCATCCTGGCCACGCGCATGCGCCGCATGGCTCGGCACTGGCGCCCTACCCCGTCGCTGGGGACCACGGCTCAGGACCGCAGGCACTGGGGCTCCTACTGCGTGCCGTACATCTTCCACCAGCTGGGCTCTGGGGAGTACACAGCCATGCTGGACGACCTGGCAGCCACCACGGGCAGCGGATCCCGAATTGCCGAGCGCATGAGGATTGCACGGGAGTTGGGTGACGAAGCCTGGAACCGTGGAGGGGATGCCAGGCGCCTCCAGCGGCAGTGGTTGGGGCATCTGCAAGTGGCTAATCAGGATGCTTTCGAGCGTGAGGCGGCTCAGCAGGACCGCACCCAGTCAGCCGCGGAGCGGTGGTTCGACCGCCAGTCCCAGGCGACGTCGGGAACGCAGGCCCCCACCGTCTACTTCGACGACCGCATCCACTGCTGGAGGTTGTGCGCCGCGAAGGTGCTGGAGGCCGACCTCGGCCCATCCACCTCGACTGGGACCTCGGAGGAGCCGCTGTGTTGCTCTGCATCGCCCGTTGAATGCACCGAGCTCACTCCCACCCCAGCCGCGTGCGACCTCACGGACGAGCACCGAGGAGCTGCCCCATGTATTTCAGCTGGTGGTCTCTCTGCCGTCCGAG